TGCACATATTCATGACGAGTTACAGGCAACGAGAAAACTTGCATTTCTTCTTCCACCGACTGACAGACAGGGAGGTAGATTTCTTGGCTCGAACGAGATGTCGCATCTTGTCTTGGAGATGAACTGGGTAGATGCTACAGAAATGTGGCTAAATATAAACACTGCTTCCCTCCTCCTACTCTTTGACTACATCACGGGGCATACTTGTGACGAAGGTATCGGCTGTTCCATCATATTTTTACAGTCTCTTGGTGTAGCTGACACACTCGTGAGTCGCATTTCGTTCACATTTTTACAGACAGCGGCATGTTCTCCGGAACTCAGTAGACACCTTAACCGAGTCCATGAAGAAAAGTTCTTTACGAAGTAAATAGTACGCTCAACTAATCAAGAAATTCCCCGAATTTAATACAACCCGAATGTACATTTGTATGCTCCGTAGAGTCCACCACTATATTCATTAATCATCCTACCATCCTAAGCTAAAACGTCTTGGTCGCTGGCAGTGTCGTGAATTACACCACAATAAATGAATAAAATACGGTCGGATGATTGTCAGAAACTAATCTGGCGGACGTGGGAGAAATCGACCGTGGTTTATGTTCGAGTGTTGTATTTTAGGAGCTGCTGTAAACCACGATAAAATCAAAAGAGTACAGCCGGTCACCGTCGAGGCTCGAAACGGATACGTCACTAAGCGGAGTCAGAGTCGGAACTGCTACGTCAACTCGCCCGGTCAATTCTTTTGTCATGTCGCTAATATCCGTACTTAGTTCATTTTGAAGCCCTTGAGTATCAATTAAGTGCAATCTAATACAGATGGCATAGGTCTATTTTACGAATGAACATTCAAAATGAAACAAACATGAAGATGACTGTCTTCTGGCATTTTCGACCATGTAGTCTGGTAGACACTGTTCGACCTTTCAGAGCAGCTTACTGCCTCCATTATCAGGGTGTTGAGTCTCAGAGATCTTCTTGCTCGCCGTCTTGAGATTCTCAGATATCACAAGTGAAACGAACAGAATATATTTCATTACTCAATATTGAACTAACAAAGAGTTGAAACAAAATGAGTCAGAAAGTGTCTCGTTCATCCATACCATTGCCTCCCATAACAAACAGTCGCGCTGTGGCTGAGTAGTAGTAATCTGACACATTTTCGTGCCATTATTTCCAATCCACCATTTAAAAAAAACCTTGGCTGTCTGCTGGAGTACATGAAACTGTTTTCAGCTCTAACCAACAAAGTATATGAGACCTCGTTTTGAATGTGTGTGAATCTGAAGGGCGCTAAGTATGCTGGAGAACAAAGGACGTACTGAGAAATATTCGAACCTAAGATAAAGTAACAAAAGTTTGGAGAAAACTGCGTAATGAAGAACTTCATGATTTGTACACTCTACCTAAGAGTGTTAGGGGTGATTAATGTTTTCGTTCATTAAATTAACATCATAAGCATAGACCAGAAGATAATGTCTCCCATTCCGTTCCAATCCTTCCTTGATTTCTTGTACCCATTGAATAATCCTTCCAATGCTAAACACGGGATATCTCGTTACATACTCTGATTTTTTCTGCTATGAATATATTCAACAGTGTTAGTGAAACAGCCTGAGATGTCATATCCAGAACTTACAGAATGGTCACTTTGGCTATTACAACGTAAATGTTAAGTCACTGTGGAAGCGTACAAATAAAAGAGTACCGGTATTAATATGTTACTTAAAAATTCAGTATCTAGGTTATCACAGTGGTCACCCGATTCAAGGCGAATACGATTTTGAATGGCTCAAACACCTTGATTCATATCCCGCTCGGGGCATGGATATAGGCTATGCCTAAGTCGGCGTCTTCTGTGCTGTGTCGTTAAGAAACCTTGCAAAGGATCGACACTCCTTCGGGAAGTCTTCGTAAAGTCCTAAAGGATTCACTGTTAAATCTGAAACGCATCAGAAACTCTAATCCGTAGAAAGTAAGCATGAATAAATGCATATTCTAACAAAATTTATTCCCGTAGCAAACGCTGAGTGTATCAGTTTGAAGCCTTTTATTTGGCTTCATTTTGAGTATTTACATTTTAATCTGAATTTTCAAAATTTTAAACTATGTTTCCATTATAACGTGTACTTTATTTACAATCCGAATGTTCAAATTGTTCCCTCAAATTTTGAATTTGCGTCTCAGGTTTTCAAGCTCACCCAGTAATAAGACCAACAACTGCAGGAGCTTTTATGTATAAATACCAGGTGATTCAAAAAGGACTTTACAACTTTGAAAGTGTATAGAAATTAATTCAGAAGGCTTACAGAATCGGTTGAGGTGGCATTTTGTAGCAAAACAAATCAAGTTTGACTCACGTTGTGCTGTAGTACCGAATTCCGTCACCGCGAGCGCAAGCGGCAGTGCATTTGAAAATGGCTCGAAAATTTTCTCATACCACAGTTAGACCAAAAAGGACGCATTCACTTCCAGCAAGACAGCGCACTACCTCACAGAAGTCCGGGATTTCCTCAATAACCGTTTCCCAGGTCGGTGGATTGGTCGAACAGGGTCGATAGCATGGCCACCTCGTTCTCCAGATTTGACACCTCTCGATTTTTTCTTATGGGTGTTCATTAAAGATCGTGTGTATGTTCCATCCTTACCTGCCAATCTCACTGAGCTCAAAGCTCGAATCACCGCCGCAGTTGCAGAAGTGACACCAGATATGCTTGATCGTGTTTGGCAAGAAATTTATTTCAGGTGGGATGTCTGCAGTATCACCAATGGCAATCACATCGAACCAAAATGACTGTTTGAGGTAAACCTTGATTTGGTTTGCTACAAAATGACACCTCAACCGATTCTGTAAGCCTTCTGAATAAATTTATATACACTTTCAAAGTTGTAAAGTCCTTTTTGAATCACCCTGTATAATTGTGGTTTATCTAACGACGCTGTCAGCAGCTAGCTCAAACTATTTAGCGTCGATTCTAGGTGCAGAGCTGTTAAATCGGCAATATGCAAAACCTAGGCGTTCTTTGCGACAAACTAAAATATCAGCAATTAACAGCTACTTTTGTAATACAAAGAAAAGAAGAAAGTTGTCTTCAGCACTTACATTACAGGCGAAATGCATTTCGTTCAGTGAGCAGTCCGTCCTCTGTTTTAAAGACAATCCGGTTCTTGGATCTTGACGGATTAGTAAGACACCTAAAAATTAAAGAAATGATAAGTTCGGGTAAAAATGTGGTCACAAAGAAAAGGCTATCAAAGCCCTCTTGTACATTGCTTTGACATATTGACCCCTGAGAATAAAGTAAGCCTTCACTTAAACTGTACAAGGAAAATATATCTCCCCTGATCCAACCATTTTAAGCTTAGTGATAACTATATGTATCACCTGCTTTAACAATCAGTAACTGTGCGTTTTTTTTTACCATGGAGTGTATCAGTGGGGTTCATATGATTCTCAGAATAAGCAGCGGTTATCTCTTAAACAGCATTAACCAGTTGATTTTTGTTTGGGTGGAGTGTTGGTTTCTTTGCGGTACAGACTAAATTCTTAAATATTATATTTAGACAAACTTCGACGTCAAAGGTTTAAGTCAAGAGTGAATTAAGTATACATATTTTAAGGCACGTTTGTTGGGACACCTAGTGGTAGACGTAAGGTTAATTAAAACAAAAAATAGTTATGCTAAGCGTCTAAAGTTACGCTTTTAGGCGTATGGTATTTTAAACAAACATCTTTTAAAATGTATACATGTAACATTAAAATGCCGTTATATGACAAATAGAAACAAGTAAACAACAGAACTCCAATTACGATATCTACAACCATAACCTTAAACTTGTTGTGAGAGATTCGTTAAATAACCTAGGAATCAGTAAGCTAGTACAGTTTTTCTCAACTTGAGGCCGGCAAGTTGTACCTACGCGAGTTAGTACATTCTACAGACATTACTCCATGGAGGTGTATTTTATACAATGATCCCTAAATGTCAATTGATAGTGTAACTGCAGTTTTATATTACAACTTGCACTATTGCTCATAGAAGGTGGGGCAGATGGGGCAGCTCAGTAGTTCTAGTGACCAGACAATGGGCTGGACGGCCGTGGTTCGCCGGGATTTTTCTTTCCTTACAAAGTCCTGATTGGCTCTGGAGCGCACTCTGCCTTCTGTTCAATTGGCACCGAGGATGTTCCCTTGTAGGTAAATACTCAGTTGCTTCTAGTGCGGAGATTAAGAATACTATGCATCTACTATTCTCCCATAAGTCTCCATGGCGTGGTGCTTAGTTAAGCACTAGGGACAACTTTACCTTCACTATTCTACTTTCTATTATATTGTAATTGGTATAGTGCTTATAGTGCTTCCATCTTGCTAATTGTGTATCAGAATATGTTCGAAATTCGGAAAATTTGTTTTTCTCTCGTTTCAACGTATCATTGACCAACAGATCAACTACAATTACTTTACGTACTTGTTAGGACTTTAGTTTTCTTTGAACGGAACAATCTGAAAACACGTTATTCTTTGATAGTGTGTTTCGATCTTTAGCCCAGTGCTTTAATTTATAGATATATGATATAATGAGGCAGGTCCTTCGTAATTCTTCATCACTTTCGACAAAACTTGTATTGAAACAAAATGGAAACTAGTGACCTACCTTCTATTAGAGTATGAATCAATCTACACATTAATGGCGGATTGATACCTTTGTGAAGCATGAATAATACCAATGGCTGACATGATAAATAAATTATTATTCACTCTAGCTTTAAATTTTGTATTTGCATAAAGTACTCTTTTGTGTGAAAGTCGTATATTTACAAATTATATTTTGCTGTATGCTTTATTGGGCTTAATTTAGAATACCTTAAAGTAGCACTGCCATCTGGGTAGTAACCTACTAGTAGGTCGAATTGCTTTCGTTGTATCAGAGCAGTGATGTGGTTGTACAGTACAGAATTTGAAATGTCTTTCTCTTCCCTTCTTTCTTTATGTAATGAAGACCTTGAGTGAACAGGCGGTCTGTAGGTGCGAGCTACGCCAAGTCAAACTATAATGAACCTCCTCACACATGATTTCTGGACCGTCTGCACAGCAAGTCGACTTGGAACCCGCGCTAGAAAAGTTTCGACTGCAACGTACGATAAGTCGAATCACGGGTATTCAGGTAATCGAGTAGCTAGCACTGCTTCAATAACGTTGCGAGATGTTATGATTGACATTTTAAAGGAAACAATCTAAATACAGAGCAGTCTGACCTTGAGTTTAAATATAATTTGAGTGGACAAATCAATGACATCTCAATAACACATTAAATAAAAATGCTCCTTCTACAAGTGAGGTTCATCTGTGAAAATGAAAAAATGTGACCAACCCCCGTTTTTTATTTATGAATATGATACACGGTTTCTGAAAATAAGAGGAAGTTCTATCTAAATGTTACTTTTCCGACGGTTTATCCGCTGGAGCTGGAACTACCGACATCTTTACTTGAATAATTAATTGGCTATCCTGACGTTTCGATCAACATATTTAGGTAGCAGGGAAAGTATGTCAAAATAATTGTGCCAGAGTTTTAAATTGAAATACATTTCCCTCCAAGTGAATAAATTATCCATATGCCTGTACAAACGTTGGGTGTAATTTTTAACTGTTCGTCATACATTAAACAAAGTGCAAACAAACAAGAAATTTTATTGAGGAGCGGAGTTTCCGCTGAAATAGCAATTTAAATTACAATCGATCTACAACTTCAATATATTGTGTTGGTAAAGACTTGTGAACCATAGTTCTTCAGTGAGTGACTTTTTTGTTTATTATTTTTATTGAAATATTTGTGATCCATTGTTGTGGATATTTGAAATTTTGTTCTCGGAATAATTCGGTTCTATTATATATGGCAACATTGCGTCCTCCATCGCTTAAGGGGCTGGGATGGCGCGCAGAGGCTCGCCGACTAACATAAACAAAAAGTGTACAGTATTGCCAAGTTGTGCAGACTGATGGTTTGGCTACTGGATATTCGTTCTGGCGGGACAATCTGGTGACAGAGACAGAGAATGTTGGAGCGTGTAAAGGCGAGCGAAGGAAGAAGCAAGAAAGAGAAAGATGGTCGCGG